GGGGTGGGGATTAATGGGGCTGGCTAGTAGCTAACGAGCCTAGTTTAAAGAGAGAAGAAACAAATTGGTGCATTTGAATGAGACGATTACAGTGGGCATATCAGAGGAATTAATTTAATTTACTCAGTTGAGGTGCCATCCAACTCCAGAATGACTCTGGGTGGCTCGTAATATGAAAAAGTGAATAAAATACCATACGATTCAAAAAGATAAAGCCAACAAAAACAAATAGGATAAGGACAAGATAAAGAATAAAATGGCAAATCCAGTCAACAATATAAAACTCAGAGGGGCTCCAACCACCCTAGTCCAGGGCCTGGGAGAAGAGCCAGGTTTTTAAGGCCCTCCAGAACTATCAGGGTGGGAGCAACTCAGATCGTGGGAGGGGGGAGATTTCATTCCAGAGACTAGGTGCTGCCACAGAGAGGGCACACCGCCTGGGTCCCAGGCCCCATGCCATGTAGAGCTTTATAGGTCACAGCCAGCACCTTGAATTATACACAGAAGCAAATCGGTAGCCAGTGCAACTTAGGGAGCAGAGGTGCCATCTGAAGCTTCTGAGTGGCCTTCAAGGACAGCCCCATGTAGGGCACATTGCAAAACTTCAGCCGATTAGGGTATTATTTTGGGCAGTATGGCTATAATATCCTGTTCAAGCGGAAGAACAGGAAACAGTGGAGAGCAGGCTACATACCAGTTAGGAATTTCGGTTTTCACAAGGAGATAGAGCAACACTGAAAGGAGATCATCAGCACACATTGTCTCCATGTTAACTGAATGGAAGAGAGAGAAGAAAAAGATGCATCCGGTTTAAGCTTAGAAATAATATCTTAATCCTTGTTTAGGCACTTTAACAACAGGTCAGAATAGAACATTTGCTAGACTGTAGATCGACAATGCTAATTCTAAATAAATTATAAATTCATTATAAATCTAATAATAATAATTTGCAGCAGTTCTGAAATGGCTTGATGCAAGAGCTTCGTTCCCCCACAATGCTACACTGTAAACCACGACTTACAAGAGACACTGACAGGCTTTGTACATATAATGCTACAAACACGTTACAACTCTGTCTCATGTGTGAATCCAACCCTTGCGTTCTACAGAAATAAAACTGCCCCCGGAGGTGTGATTGGCCCCCACTCTCCTGGCCTTCCGTAAGGCTTTGAAGACCTGCTTCTGCCACCTGGCCTGGGGT